GAAAGTTATGTGAAAAAAGTTCATTGAAAAATTTTAACTTCTTTTTTCAATGTTTAATTATGTCGGTTTGTTTTATTATTAGCTTTGGAATCTTTTCGTTTAATCATGCGTATGTATGTATGTATGTGTTTATTTTTGTATGTATGTGTATATGCGCATTTATTTTGTGAAAACGATTCAGTTCTGATAAATGAGTTCTGCAACTTTCAGTGAATTATCACTATTTTTTATACGGTGTTAGTAGCTATTCAATAAGCGTCTTGGATGTCGTAGTGACATTGACGTTAGTTTTCCGACAGTAGCATTGAGAATAGATTATTTTTAGTATTATTTATTGGAAAAGCCTTAGTTCTGAATGGCAAAAATTTGGTTCTAACAATTTTTTTTCAGCTGATCTGAAAACTGGCGATGTAGTTTGGGCTCCCTATCGACGTTTTCCAGAATGGCCGGCGCTGGTTTGTTTTTGTTGTAATTCTGGCTGAAAAAGTGATTTGTCCTGTTATTAAATAAATCTCTTTATTTTTGCCGTTGAAAGATTAAAGATAGCATGAAATAGCTAGCAAATTTCAGGTTCGTTGTGTGTATCCGAAAAAAGTCACCTATACGTTTTTACCAATTGACGAAAGCTCAAATTTGAAGTCATCAATTTTCAGTTGCCCACCTCAGAAGCTTCGACTTTTAACTGGCAATGAATCCGTTAGTGTCTTTATAAATTTCTCAGTTTATACACTATAAAATTCGATGATTGCTGTTAATGTCGTTCTGTTATAGTTACCTGCTGGAGCAAAAAATGATATGAAGGAAGCATACAAAGCGGCACTTGAAATATTGAAAAAAAGTGGGCTTCTAGGTGCAGGTCATCAGATGTCAGGTACAGTCTATATATTAAATTCAATCGAAAACCGTTTAGGTGAATAAGAAGATTGAAGTTTTTAATTACAAATATTAAGGTTTGGATAACTTTTTGTTTATGCAAATACCAGACTCCAATGAAAATATATACTGACTCTTCGTTACTCCGGATTAAAAAAAAACATTAACGTGAAGTAGCGCTGACTCATATCCCAAATGTTTTTATGGGTAGTAGTTGATTTCTCTAGCTTACAATAATGTAGAACTTTATCAGTCATCAGGGAAGTGGATAAAGGACGATTTATCTAGGACATAGAGGCACTCAGAGGAATGGACTTCTAATCCGGAAACATTTTTTTAATCCAAGAATTGCCGATACTTATAATAGTCATTTCTCCAGAGGAGTTAGCAGCTTTTAAAACGAATGAAATCAACAAGCAGAGCGTTCTGGGTGATCTTATGAAGAAGACTAAAAAAGATAGTGATGCAGCAAGTAGCGGCGACACAGCAAGTAATGCAAGCGCGCCGCACGTTTGGGGTATAGGTGAAGTTGTCTGGCTTAGTATGCCGAATCATTCGGAATGGCCNGGTGATCTTATGAAGAAGACTAAAAAAGATAGTGATGCAGCAAGTAGCGGCGACACAGCAAGTAATGCAAGCGCGCCGCACGTTTGGGGTATAGGTGAAGTTGTCTGGCTTAGTATGCCGAATCATTCGGAATGGCCAGTTGTAGTAAGTTTCATCAAGAAATAGAATGAACTAATTGGAAAAATTTGAATATCCAGCTGGCACTCATGTAAATCCAAATATATATGCTTGAATTTCACATAACTGTATACATCTCCATTGAAATTTGACAATTGTCAGTACGGTGATTTTCCTGTGTTGTTCTATGTTGTTTCCTATGCTAGTTTAGATAAACCAGAACAAGATTACATTTTGCATGAAGTTAATAGTTACTGCATGTTTGCCTACTAATATTCTTATTGATATGGTGGTAGTTATAAAATGCTTATGAAATGAATGATTTCAGATACGTGAATTGAAGAAGAAATTTGCAATGGTGGACGCTTTTCCACTCAAATTTAATTGTAAACCCGAGCGTTATCCATTAAGTGCTTGTCAGAAATTTGAATTGGCAGGCAAAAATCTGGAAGCTGCCATCAAAAAGGTTTCTTTTTTCCTGGTCGTTTTTGTTTTTTGTTGACACCCGGCAGTTATTGTAGGAATTAGTTCCAAAACTTTAAATTGGTAATTATACTTGATTTAGAAAATGGAAACGTTCTAACTCTTAATTAACCTTATAGTGCTGTGATAACTATTGTTGCAGTTGTTATTTCCGCATGCATCATCTAAACTTTGTGTCATTATTTTTCAGCTGCTTTACTTTTATTCACAAATTAAAATTCTTCTACTTGAATGCTCTTGCTGACTTTCTGCTTCTGATTTTATTAGTTGATAAGTACATTGCATCTTAGTTTTGATTTAACTAGGTTTCATATCGTCGAAGATATTATGTTAATGTTGCAGTTTCGATAATAGGCTTGAATTAGTTGGCGTATACTTTAATCTAAACGTTGTTTTTCAGGAACGAAATTGCGAACTACGTATGGCGCTTCAAAGTGTTATGAAATATTTCAAACGCAGAGAACAAATGAACAACATAGAAAAATCAGACACAGAGGATAATGATAATGCAAAGGTTGATATTGAAAATGATACACGGCAGGGACGTGACAGAAAAGGTAGAAGTACCACTGCTGGCTTGGAAGAGGAATTGCAATCTGCTGATGGTGAAGCAGAAGCGAAATTAGCTGGAATGTTGAGAGAGGGAGAAAATAAACGCGATGGTGAGTTCTAATATACTTGATAACTTTTTGGTTTTGATTATAGCTGTATGCGTGAATGAAATGAAGGATTTGAAGATTTTTACATGCTTCTTCATTATAAGATTGTAAAAAACTGATTCATCATTGGAAAGGGTCAAATGTGGTAGTTTTTCTAGAAAAAGCAAGAGATAAGGATGTGTCATTGTATGCAAATGAAGAAATATGGATAATGAGATTTTTCAAAAATTAGGAAAAATTTCAGGTAAGAGACGTTTGGATAAATCACCGTCTCCAGCAGCAAAAAGGCAGAAATTTTCGGATGTTATGAAAGATTTAGAAACTGAATTAAGCGAAAAATTGGAAAATTTATGTAAAGGTGATTTAGCTTGGATTAACCGAGCACGAAGTGGCCGTATCGTCAAATGGCCTATTTTGGTATGTTAATTTTATTAAGTGCTTTTCATTTCATGTTTCCTTCTTCACTTGAGCAATTGGTGCATTCCATACGTTATTACTTGTTGGTTTTATTTGTTTAGGTTTTGAAAGTAGACAACGTTAATAAATCGTGTGTTTGCACTGAGCTGCCGTTGGATGATATGTCAGCTAATGCGGAATGGTAAGTTAAAGTGCTTTATATTTTTTTATGTATCAATTATCCTTATGTTGTTTAGGTTTTAGAATTAGAGCATTAAACACCGGGCAAAAAATATAATCATGCATGATGAGTCTGTCATCAGAGACAATAAGATTTTTTTGTTTAGGTGTCTGAATTCAGAAAAGACTCTCGTGGTGCAGTTGAAAAATATCTATCTATATGACACAGTGGAAGCGAAAGTTGATGTAAGTTAGAGCAATTTATGAATTTGTCTACTGCGTTAACCGTTAGTTAAGTCAATGTTGGTTTACATTGTCTTTTCTTCGCTCTTCTGCACATCTCATTGTCTTCTCAGGTTACATAATTGATTGGTGTGCCATTGTGCTTCGACACTGCGCAACTATTATTAATTCGAATTGTATTCGTTTTAGATTTTATGCTTCAAATTTTGATGACTACGATTATGCCTTTTGGTAAAGTTCACTTAAAGAGAACTTTATCATTTAGCAGGATTTGTCTCTGCTTTTCGCTGATTACTTTGCTGCGTGATGATTGTCAGTTAGTTTCCTATCATGCTTGAACGTGATTGGAAAGTTGCTGAAAATATTTTAAGCTTGATGAAATATACTGATCTAGTGTCATGTGTAGGCATTTGTCAGTCCATAATTGAAGCTATAAAATTATTAGTTCCTAATCTCTACTGTGTTGTTTTTGAACATTCCAAATAATTATTAACATATTTAAGGAGATCGACGACGAGGAATTGAAAGCAGCTATTCAGCAGGCTGATGAAATTGCTGAGGGCAGTTATCAGCCTTTTGATGATGAACGGAACAGTTTTGATAAGAACGGTATAATTAAAATATATTTTACGACGCTTTGACATCGTTATGCACATATGAATTGGATGCATAGTGAGATATATCTCCATATCGTTCCTTGAGGTCGTCAATGTGCAGTGGCATTAAATTTCGAATCACTTTATGATATATTTAAGAATATATTACATTAAAGGAATATAACTGTAATTTATATTGATTAGTACTGAAACTTCAGACAATTATTATGTTCCAGGAAATTCAAGCGTTCGAGAAAATGGGTGCAAAGTTGCATCAAGCAGTGTTTTGGCACCCAAGGAAATTTTACGATTATGTAAATCGGAAATGTGTGCAAGACATTTGATGGCTATTTGGACTGGTCAGTTCACATGCGCACGTCATGCTGGCTATGAGCCGCCGGTTGTAGCACCGCTACACTTTGAATTAAATACTGGTTAGTCGATAAATTAAGGCAATAACTCATTACAAGATGGTGCTTTTAGTGTAGTGAACTATTTATTATTTCATTCCAAACTTTTAACTTTTTAGTTTAAGTGGAAGAAATTTGCTTTTTCAGGAATATAAATCTTATTTATTCAAATTTTTGAGTTTCGGAAAAATTTCTGAATCATAAGAAATTAACATATCCATGGGAAAATTCACTACTAGTTTTAATTACTTGTTTACTTTTTCTCAGGAGATTTACTGCCGGAAATGGATGCGATTATATTGGTTGAGCATTTAGATGCAACTGTTGCCAAATTCAAGGATGCGATGAAATCATCACTGCGACGGCTCCATTACGTTACTACAGTTGCAGTGCCGGAAGCAGTTGTTTTTGCCATCACACAGGTTTCTTTTTGATGATGCTGGTAGTGGTGTTGAACTATTTGATATTTAATAAAAAGGTATTGGATTTGAAATATTATAAGTCCCATTTCACATGTCTATTGTGCCTATGATATATATTTATGTGCCGTAACTTTTGTCAAATTGTGAAATGCTATTGTTAAATTTATTTTAATAGATTTGTTATGTTTCAGATCCGCTACTGTTCCGGAAGTGAGGCAAATGAAATTTTTGAAAATGCGTTGCTAAAAACGGTAGAGAAGACTCCTAGCGAACCAAGTGATGGAATTGGCGCAACGTAAGCTGTTTACTGTTGTTGAGTTTTTGATAGCATTTGAATATTTGCGTCATGTCTGTTGATACGATTGAGTTGCAACATTTTTTGATATTTCATTGAAAATTGTAAATTGTTATGCTAAGTCATGTTATTTTTTTGAAGTCGCTGACTTGCTATTAAATTTGCTGATTTTATTCATTTATTTCGTTACTTTTCTACTCACAGTAACGAATACAGCAAAAAATTGGCCATTAACAATTATGGTCAAGTTTAAGGAAATACTATGGAGGAATCCTTTTTCACATTCTTACAAATAGTTTAATCTTCTTTCTTTTTTTGATTTCGTTGTTTCAACTTAAGATATCGTAGAAAAAGTTCATCGCAGATGTCTAAATCTGTTCTTTTTATTAGCATTTATAAGCATAATATTCGGCCATGTATTGTCATATATAACAATAGTTTGGTAAAGAGAAATGTGCAAATACGTTTAAGGGAGTAGGATTAACTATAATTAACCTGGATTCAAAAGAGAAATACTTTTTCCTTTCCAAAAATCTTGTAATTTCTAAAAGTAGAGATAAGCTGGTCTTCCATTTACTCGGCACACCAACGAATACTACATAGTATAGGAATTTAAGGATGGTATTTATATACTGAAGTTCGCGTAACGTCTCTCAATTGTGATTAGCAATTTCTTTCAGAACTGGTTTCGAGCAACTTCTGAAGGCAGCATCCAAAGTGCGATGTGCAACATTAGGAATGGATTAGTCGAGTTTGAGATGATGTTGTAGCATTGTCTTTCTTACATTTCATTCTGCAAATTGTTTATTATATGTCATATACTTTGATGAATCGATTAATTTTTGTTTTGTTTGTTTTTTCTTTCCTATCTTTTTCAATATAGATTGCGCACCTCAATTTTCCTTATACGTTAATTCAGAGGATATGGATCCAAAAGTGCAGATAAGAAAGTGAAGTCTATAATGCACTGCTGTTTTCAGTGCATTAAACTAAGTTAAAGAACTCTGATTTGATCCTTTTATCTAATTTTGGACTTGAAGGTTTGATCGATTTCTGATAAAACGTTTAATCTAACCAATTTTTTTAGAAAAAAATTTTTATGAGCGATATCTAATCCTTTCAAATACAGTGTATCAAAAAATGACCTTCATCCCTCAACCGCTCTTCTTCCCTACCAGGAAAAAAGGAAGGCATCTGGATGATAAAGTTGTTGAAAAGGACGACTTGAGTTTTGGATTGCCACCTTTATTATTCTCGAATTATTATCAATCCCATTTGTGTTTTTGATTGTCATTGTTATTATTTTCAACTAAAAGATTTGGCAATTGTTTGTATTTTATTATTTATTTTATTACTTCTGATATTAACGCACACAGTTTTTTGTGGCATCTCTAACTGCCAATATACTTAATTTATCAAAATAATGTACATTTTTTGATTCGCTGAATTTGATGAATTGCTAATCCGATATATTCTTTCAGAAAAGAGAAAATTCTGTCGGAATTTATAACTTTTTCAGGAAATTTTGTTTCATTTTTTTCGAGTAGATTTATGACAAGCATTCGTTGGTTAAATTTGTTATTTGATATTTTCATTCGTAATTTTTATGTATTTCAAATCAAACTTTATTTGCTAAAGGCTATTTCTGATATGGTATCGGTGTTTACGATTATTGTCTAGATAGAGTTTGGGATTTTTTTTTTGTATGGTGTACGAATGTTTCGTTGCAGCTATTCTTTAGAATAATATTTAAAGATTTTAAGTGTATGCTCGTGGCAGTCATTAGGCCAGAACTGATTTTGTTTGAGTTTTCAATCCAATTTTAATGTGATTAGGGTTAGCTTTACAGTGTTGTTTTCATGAATCTGTGAAGTTGTGCTCTTTTGTTGGATTGCTGGATGAAAAAGGCTGAGTGCCTTTTGTTTTATGATGAATACATTTTCCCAACTCTATCACTTTTTTTTTGATTATTTCTTGATTGTAAAACAATGATAAGATTATCATTTGATAAGAATAAATTTGGTCAATGAAAGCTGTTAAAGATACATTTATCACAAATTTTCATGCCAGAGACATCTATGTGTCCATTGATCGTTAATGATATTATTGCTATTGTTATTCAAGGACAATAGACTCATAGACATATTAGGTGCCTAAAATATTGTAGAAAGATTTATTCAAATATAATCTTTTTAGATGTCGATTTATTAGCAGGATATTTACATCTTTATTCGTGTTGAAATTCGTTGCATTTTCATCATCTATTTTTATAATAGTCATAAGTGTAGGGATTGACGACTAAAAATTTCAACCACCCTGTGTATATTCTTTATTAAATGAAATTCAAGTTTTAGTTTCACTTACAAATTTCCTATGATCGGTGTTCTAATAAGAAGTTCAACAAGTAGGATTTTGTTTGACATATTAGCTGTAATTTTTTTCATTGTTTTTTAAACGAAATAGAAATTTGTCGCATGTCATGTAAGGTTTCAAATTTCGTTCATTTAAATTCGTAATAAGTTAGTCGTAGTATTACATTTTGTTTATGTAACGTACTTTTTCAAAAAATAAAATGGTCATATGCTAATATATTTCTTTCATTACTGCTTATCATTTAGTTAACTGCGATTGTTATGATTGTATGTTGCGATTGTCGTTATAATTTTTTCTTTAATTTTCTCCAATTCAAAAAAGGCCGCTTCGACCATGCAAAATAAAGTTTGTGTGGTTCATTCTATGAATTTCATCTCTTATCACTTATTGGGCTTTTTCCATATAAGAAGTTTCTGTGCCACTGCCGATGGGTGGGGTGGTTGTGAAATAATGCAAGTGTGGGACGTACCAGTTACAAAGCGTATCTATGTTTGGAAATGTGCTTTTGTGATGCATTGATTGGTTCCTAAAGAAGAGTATGTGGGGAATTGGAAAATTAGGCAGTTAATGGCAGGTTCCTGAGAACAGTAGGGTTGTTTAGGAGGGAGTAAATTTGGCCGTAAGTTTTGGTTCTGAATGGCCTAGTTCGAGATGGACTATTAGAATGGGATCTTTAGTGATTATGGGGTGATGTAGCTTGTATTACATTTCGAAGCTTCATGTTCTCCAATTATTAACATTCCGGAAGACGTGCTCTGAGCTTTTCAAACCGGTTTACTTTGTTGAATAGGGGGGAAAAGGAGTACATTGGTAATAGATTATTAAAAATTTTCTAGTAGGATTTTTTTCCTTTTGCAAAAGTCTCATTCATACATCATTGACACCTTTAGGTCGTGTGATTTAGATTTATAACCATATACTTCAAGCATATTGCGTAGGTAATCTTGTTGGCTTTTGAAAGTATAAAAAAAGGAAAAGTAATTTGTGAAAACTGTTCGACAATTCGGATGTTTTTTTGGGTAGTTGTTTTAACGATGTCAAATGAAAGGAAGAATGTTTCTCAGATTAATTGTTGCTTTGGAATTAGGAAAGGATGAATAGTAGTAAGGAATTGTCATCAAAGGGCTAAATGTTAGAATCATGAAGTATCTCTATTTAAGGTTTTCATTCCTTGTAACGATGGTTTTGGTGGCTGGAAAAAGGGTGAAAATTGTGAAAAAGCATAGACGTCGCTTCACGAGGCATGAATCCGATCGTTATCATCGGTTGCGTCCAAATTGGCGAAAACCAAAGGTTAGTTTTAGCATATCAGATAAAAGAAATTGGTTCTTTGGTCGAAGGTTATCAGTAATAACAGTATTTGATGGGGTTGGAATATTTTGTTGACCAAATTGTCTTTCTGAACAAGGAAAAAATATTTCTTGAAATAAATCGGGAGAGGACGAAGATGAATGAGTAAGAGGAAAAGCTCTTTTATTTTGCAGAATCCGCTTAAAAGCTGCTCTGCAACTATAACGCGTGATTAAGACTTGTTGAAAATCCTGTACAGTGTTGGAAACCCTGCATAGTTAATAGACTAGGTTATAGTGTGGTATTTTTTTTGAAGCTCGAAATAACTTTTTAAGGGTATTGATAATCGTGTCCGGAGAAGGTTCAAGGGACAACGCCGCATGCCAAAAATTGGCTATGGTAATGCTAAGAAGACACGGCATATGCTGCCAAACGGATTTAGGAAAGTACTGATACACAACGTTAAGGTTGGTTTTACTGAAGTTTCACTGTGCATAATTTGCTGGGTTTTGGAGTCATTTACGTGTGCTGTTCATTGCAAGAGTGCCGAAAGCACTCTGTCATCCTTTCACTTCAGTTATGCAGTTATATTTACTATATCTTTGCTTAGCAAAATGGAATCATGGAGATCTGCTGACATTAATCGACGGTAGTTGAGATAAATTCCGGTAAAGAATATGGACATTATCCTCCTCCTGCTACTGCCATTATCGCTTGATAAGTGAGGATAATGGATTAATAGGTTTTTAGGATTTGGATATGTTGTTGATGCAGAACAAGAGGTTCGCCGGTGAGGTGGCACATGGCGTATCATCGAAGAAACGAAAAGGCATTGTAGAACGGGCACAGCAACTTAACATCAAATTGACCAATGGACACGCGAAAATCAGATCTGAGGAAAACGAATAAATGCTTTTTTTGTCCAATTAAAGAGGGTGATATGGTTGGTCAGTAGTTCTCTATTAAGACGAAAGTCTGGGAAAAAATTCTGGAGAATTGCTTTTCCGATAACGTTTTCCTTATTTGACTTGTCATTTTTTGTGGATCTGTTAAATACTGTTATTCTTTTGTTTCTATTACACGACAATTTGGCGTGGAACTTCTTCACTGCATAAATTTCAGGAACCCCTCGTTCTGATGAGTAAACTTTCTCATTTCAGAACGAGGAATCCCTCGTTCTGAAATGAAAAGTTAGCTCATCGTTTCTTTTATTATACCAGATGCGAAATTCAGTAGTGTTTGACTCAGCGCAATTATTTATGGAACAATTATAGATTGTGACACATACAATTCAAAAAAAAGAACATTAACTTTCATCCATTCGTACTGTCATAATTAGGGTGTAATGCGTATGAGATTCGGGAGAGTGTTGTATAACGGGTATAACAACATAACATCAAATTGACCAATGGACAATGCAAAAATCAAATTTGAAGAAAATGAATAAATTGATCCAACTAAAGCGGAGTAATGGAAATGATTAGTCAAAAGTATTCTGGAGCGTCTTGTTCATTTTTATTAAGGTGGAGATTTTTACAACATTTTTGCGGCATGGCGCTTGTTGGATAATAAAATTTTTTTTTCTTTACAATCCATTTCCTCTTTCGGTCGGTGGGACCAAAAATGAACGTATTTTCTAGTATCCTTTGTGGCTTGATAGACAAAACTTTTAAAACTACATCATCGCCTCACACAATGAATATCATTTGTCAATGAAACATCCCTAGAAAGTGTAAACACTTGCAGCGATTCGTACTGATGAGAACTATGAGTACAATATCTCCAGGGGAGAATACTATTTTGTTTAATGACGATCCAAATACTACAACTTATCTCTGTGAACTAACTTTTAGATACCAATACCTATTTATGATTCCTATTTATGTGAATGACGGAATGCGCAATAAATTAAAGTACTGAGAGGCTTGAGGTAAATAAAAGGAATGTTCAACGAAATTCACATTGGAAATTCTTAGTCTGCTGAACAAAATAAAATTATTGCAGTCATGTATGTGAAGAATGGTACAACTTCACATTTCCTGACTTGGTAGTGGTCTGCTGATTAGTGTTTTGTAGCACTCTGCTCCTGAAAGTATAACACTGTCATTAGAATTAGATCAAGTCCACAGCAACACAAAAATCTATGTTCAAAACATTCAAAAAAATTACAAATAATAGACCTCGGTATGTCTATCCGCATGTATGCTGTCAGGATCTGCGGATTTTGTATACAGCGTGTTCTCAGTCTGATTCAACATGTTGGGTAAGGATTTGCGATGATGCAAAAGGGAATTTTTAGAAAGCGAAATGTCTGCCCTTTCGTGCGACTGGCTATTTCCATCCAGACCTGCAATACCTCCACTGTAACGATCAATTCATGTTGATACATTTTTGAAAGGAGAAGTGTTAAACTGTTAAGGACAAAGGTAGACACTAGACTAGCTTTTAAGATAGCATCGATAAATTAATTTGGATGACGGAATGCAAATACAGATGTTCATGCCTAAGAAATCATGCACAAATATAAGAGCAGGCAATTTGATCGGTAGGAGATATTGCAAAACTGAAAGTTTTCGTAATCTGAAAACCATAAAACGGAGATATGGATACCCACTTCCTCTATCGGTGACTTTTGAAGCAGCTTCCAATAACGGATTTGTTTCTTTCATTGAAATGCTTTCAGCATGCAACTCAGTTTTCTGAAAAAAATGGAACCGAATTAGGCCGCCCTGTGCTAAAAAAGATAAACTTAGCAAGGAATCCTTTTTAATGTAGTAATTTTTGCGAATGTAAGAAACGTAGCCAGTTAGAATCCTAATCGAATTAAAAAGCAGATACGTAGATCAATAAATGATTACCCTTTCTTCTACCTTCCATTTCGATATTTCCCGACGTCTCTTACACAATTCATCGTCATCGATTTCAACAGTTTCTGTCTCAACAGTTACGTTGTCAATTTCTTCATCAACGCTTTCGTTTTTCGCTAGACGTAATTTAAAGCGGAAAGTGCGATCCGTTTCGTCCGCGACATCATCAACACGAAGCCGATCTTTCCAATACAACAGCTTCCTTTCTTCCTCATCCTGAATTTAGAGAATTTCTTGATTTTAGCATATCGACACGAAAATCAATCTGGAGCTAATGATTGGTGGAATGAAATTTATAGAGAGCAAAAGAAAGTTCCCAAAGATCCGACTGAATTCTAAGTTAATTCAAAAGTAAAAAGTATAAAGAAGAATCTTACTCGCTGCTGTTTTATCCACTGCTTATTTAGTTGTTCCTTGATGGTTTCATCGTCTGGAAGTTCATCATTATCTCCTTCCTCAGCCTCATAAACACTCATTTGCTCTTCATCACTTTCATCACTTCCAACGTCGTCCCCTGACAATGAAGCCTCTTCGTCGATATATTCGCATCTAAAACAAGTTCCCTATGCCTTCTATCTAGAATTATACTCTTCATATGCAAGAAAAGCAAAATATCAGAGAGACATAAACTTCAAAAATACAAACCTCTTTTGCCGTTTTTGCTTTTGTGCTATCTGCCGTTCACAAACTCGCTCCAGCTCATCATTGGAACCTACCTCTCCCACATCTTCAACCTGCCGATCCTAAAAATGCTTCGTTTGCATTATTCTTATCTTGATGAATTAGGTTTTAAAGTGGTGGTTTTTGATCAATATGTCCTCATGAACACTATAGTGACCCCGCACAAGATCAGTGTCAGAATACATATGCTAATCACCCCAATCATTTGGTGGCACACACCTACAAGATGAATTTGTTTTATTTATAAATCTCAGAATCGAAAGAACAGGATTGTAACCTCGTCGTCGTTTTCTTCATTACTTGGTTGAATTTCATCTTTCTCACAATCGTCATCTACATCATCAGGACTAGTTTCTTCCTTGTGGTCTGAGGTACTGCAAGCTTCATCGTCTTCATCATCCCAATGAAGGGATGGTATTCTCTGAACCTTTTTCGGTAACCCCGCACTACGTCGCCATGCTTTTATATTTTCTTCGTTATAAAATTTGTTTGAGAGCACTAATCGACGCTTCCGTTTTCGTACTAATCGGTAATATTCTTCGCTATTAAAGTATTCCAATGGCCTAAATTGATTAGAAATCGCATTCATAAACGAAATATAAAAACAACTCGTCAGTACTGCTGGTTTTTAGTTACCCACCGGAGATATTAGAATGATTATTTTTACAAAATCACAGTTATTCTCAAGTACTTCAAATCATTTAAAGCATTGCCGAAGTACCCATGACCAACAACAACGAGAAAACCACTTTTTTCAGAGTTCTCAAAAAATGAGTAATTCTTTCATTCTTCGAGATTTTTGAACAATAATAACTTGATTTCCTTAAAATTGGATCTTCTCTTAGCTTTCCTTTTTTCTCTCAAAAGATAGAACTATGCATCAAACCGTTAGCATGACTTCCAAAGAATGCCTAATTGGAATACCCACAACAAATAAATTTGAATTTAAGTTAAATTGCAAACACCACTTTTTTACTAACTTCGGATAGTCCTCTTCAGGATACTCGAAACTACCAGAGCAATTTTCTGCAACATCACTCAGCAGGTCATCCACTAGACTTGAACCTCCGTATTCATCAGAATCTATTATATGAATCGGTTTTATATCGAACTTGGCAAATAAAAGAAATGAATTGTCCTAGCAGTTATTATTCTCCTTTGTGAACTTTTAAATTGTGGTATAGCAAAGATCGTGAATTACTAAAGTTAAAGTCATAGTGAATTAACATCTCCAATGAGGTAGTTGAGAAACTGATAAGCGGAGATCTAAATTCACAAAATTAAAGTCATGGCTTAAATTATAAGGAGAAATGAATAGTGCACCAACCTGTTTCTTCATCCGACAAGTTGAATGAGTCCGTTTCATTGTCTGGTAAATGACTGAAATAGAATAATTTGAATTTGAAAATCCAAATATTTTCTTTGTATCTTTCACACAATTTAAAGCAAATTGCTTTAATATTGTGACTCTATTTTTATTGCGATTGTTGTTTCAGTAAACACTGTGTTGATTCCAGTATGAATAAGAAAAGACTTCCAGAAATGTACATCTCAGCACACCAAACCGTAAAATGAAATCTAATACTGCACATTCATAAGTGATGATGAAATGGTAAAATTATTGCTGTCGAGGGTGGTAACTTCCCGAAATTAAAAAACCACTATTAAAGAAATCTTCCTTTTGCAGAACATTCACGATTTAACAGGCCAAAGAAAGAATAATTGCAAATCTCAAAGTAGTATAACGACAATTTGCTTTTTAAAAACGTTTTAGCATTAGTAGGAATGGTGACAAACCTCGCATTATCATGTTTCAGAAGACTTCCACAAGCTTCCTTTCCTGAATGCGACCAATCCTCCCGTTGATCTTCGTTTGCTGTGTCTTCCTAAAAACTGCATTGAGCAAAAATTCTATTACGACAAAAATTAAAAATTTTAGCAAAAATTATTGCTAAAACTTGATTAGTATACTCCATTTCATACCAATTCTATTTACTTCAATAATAATAGGTAGAAAAAATTTTAAAAAAGAATAAATATAAAAAAGGAAAGACATACAAAAGAATTTTTCCGACGAATTTATAAAAAAAGAAAAAAAATGAAAAAAGATATACAAAAATCTTCCTGACGAATTTATTATTACTGTCTCCAGTTACATCTCTATTTCCTTCTTCGTTTAATTTGATGTCTTTATTTTCTCTTGTAGCTTCAACTTCATTATCTTCGATGTTCTTTTTCTCTTCATTTATTTCATTTTCCTTACTGATTGCCTTTTTAACATTATCCAATTCAGCTTTGTATTCTATCAAACCATGATTGACCTCATCATTCATGGCCATGTTATTTTTCGGCGGATTTTCTCCAGCATCCGACTCCATTTTGTTTCCTTCATCACCCATATGTCCGCATAAATCCTAAACAATATTACTAATGAGTAAATTACATCGTACACTATTATTGCCATATCGTTGTAATATTCATTTACCTATCTCAATACCTTACACATTAAATTTTCGATATCATTATTCTTGAAAAATTGACGCAGTGAATAAAAACAAAATCAAAAAGTAAACATAAAGGTAAAACAAACAATTTCCAACGATTTCGATCCATCGAATGTAATTTCGTTATCAGCATCATACATCGCTTTACGTTTATCTTGGTTTTTTAGACGTATTTCTACCAAGCGCTTCATCATACATTTTTGTATATCTTCACGTGTAGTACCTGCAATACAAAATAAATTTCTTAAAACTAACACCAAATTATGAATTACTAGATTTTCCTTGTTAATGACCATAAAAGGATAAATAATTTTCTGAAGATTATAAACTGACAACTTACCCCGTGAAACCTGGGAGTTTCCAGAATTTTTCTCCCTGAAAAAAACTGGTAGTTGATAAAAGGTTGAAACCTCGGAAGAGCAATGTTTGAAAACCAAAAAAAAATGTACCCATCAATCGAGTGAGTTCCGCTTTTCGGATTAATTTTATGGATAAACCATTCATCACAAGAATTCGATTTCTCCTAAACACGTTTAAATTAGGTTACAAACTTCACTTTTTCAATAATAAGATCTTCCAATTACTGAATTCCATGGAAGTTTCCAAACTCTTATTAGTTAGTTGATTATTAGTTAATTTCAATATTTTCTGCATCATGAGCTAAGTTATAAAAACCATCACTGATATATCCCCTTTATACTGATTTCTTTACATAAAAACCAGTAAAAATAATGGACAAAACTGCCGAAGTACCATTCTAATTATTATTAGTGATGAATTGCTGTTGCATTCAAACAACTGAAAACGTCATCAATTCTCAATCAGAACTCACTTCATTGGTAGCCAAATCAATTGAATCTTCACGTGTCATTTTCGGTTGAAATTTAAGACCTTCTGGAAAGGCGTCGTCGAAACGTCGACAGCGTCGTGTAGTTGGAATTGTTTCTGCTCCATGTGATTGTGACTTTGGGCTTAATGAACTTTCATTATTCAATAACAGTTGCATATTTTCCTTCGATCCATTGCTGCTCGATGACGATTCATCTGGATAACGGCGGCTGAACAATGAACCACTATTACTGTTATTGTCAGCATCTGATGGCGCCTTTGGCGAGACCAAGCGATCATCCGACATTATCAGTAAACCAGATATATCTTAAACGAATTTTATATAATCGTTATCTCCATTATTTATTCTTAAATTTCAAAATAAAACATAAATTTCGTAAGATAAATCAATTTAAACGCAAACATATTTTCATATTCTTCTCTTATTATTTATTGTAACTTCATCATTCTTGTGATGGATGGTCAATGATATAATACTATATCATAACTACTACGTTTGTAAAAATTATCATGCTTTTAGCCATATACTATACTCATATATGGATCAAAAATTACACGTGAAATACGCCAATAACGAGACAAACTTTTAATATAAACACATACACACGCATACACTCTCGCACGCACATGCGCACAAAAATCGCCCGCTCAAACGCGCAACCGCTGAGCATCCTTCAATTGACCGCTGTCCACTCAATTTACGATTTGAAAGGCTCTCTTTAATATTCGCCACACAAGCTTTCGTTTTAGAACCAAAAAACTTAAAAGCAAAATTTTACACGATTATTTAGCTGCAATTGATAGCAAGTTCCCTCAAAAGACCACCGTAATCGAAATGCCTAAAAAATTCTTATAACAAACGAAAATTGTTGAGTAACGGTGCAACTTTTTTCATAGCTTACGATTTGGTATTGCGTAAAGGTTGGCGTAGGTTAGTTGGTTGTGAGTGGTCGCTAATTGGTTGCATTTGCTAGTGACGAGAAGCGAAAAGGATCATTTCATAATGGTAAGTTTTTCGTTTCCACTTTTTCTGACATGCAAATTTTTTACAATCTTCTCTTAAATCTACTTTTAGGACAATTTTGGCAATTTCTGGAATTTCTTTTTTGTTTTTAATTTTCCATATTTCAGGTTTTCTTTCCTTATAGATTTTTCTGTCTTCACAATTTTTTTCACAAGTTTCTCTTAAATCTATTCACTGTTTACTTTTTGTTAGCATAGATTTTCGTACATTGTGAGACTTTTTTGGTGTTTTAATTTAAATTTTAAGCGTTTCTTTTCGTTTTCGTTTTCTGCAGTTTCCTTTATTAGATTCTGAAATATAGGAAATATATTTTTTAACTTCTCTGGAGCTATTGGTTTTCTTAGTTTCATGTTTTGGAAAATTGGTAAGTGAAGTAATACAAATCTCATTCAGGATTTTTACTACTGACAGCTTTTTTGGTTCTTTTCTGATTCCTTTCAGTTGGAAAGTTAGGTATTTGGTGAAGATAGGATAACTTGATCTGGGAGAAGGTTAGCCTTTGATAAGGCATGAGAGCGATCGAATTTTAAAAATGTCGGAATTGTCAAACTTTTGTTGAGGAATTACTGAAGTTGCTTGAAAATTTCAACAGTTGAAATTTATATACGTGGGACACCAAAGCATAACACACGCACATGTGTTTAGGGATCGGGTAATTGTTCTGCTTTCTATATAGCATACCTCTGAACTTGGCGTCCTGAACACGGTCGAACTTTCAATCATGTAAATAAATATTCTATCCCACTCAGTGGTTGAAGCTTTCTTTCCCCACATAAAAATAATTATAACAAAAGGTGTTCCATTCCATGCATTAAGTTGAACCAATTAATAAATGATAAGATTTCACAATAATGAATACATAAACTAAGGTAGAGTTGAACTCTAAGCACTACTGAGAAATTTAATTGGCCTTAATTAAGTGATTAAATTGTACTACTAATTTCTGGGATGATTCAGGTGAACTTTACGATCGAAGAAATCCGTGGTATGATGGACCACAAAAAAAATATTCGTAATATGTCTGTTATTGCTCACGTTGACCATGGTTTGTTGTTTTTTATGGAAGCTCTGCCCATGTGGGTTGCATTGATTATTGATTTGGAAAGTGGTGTCAATTAACGCGGGAAAAAAGGAAGGCTATTTCAATTAATTTCAAATTTACATTTCAAAAAAATTTAAAGTGTGACATTATTTTGATCGAAATCTTATCCAATTTGAAGGAAAAATATTTGGAAAGTTTTTAGCCATCATTCATAATTAATTATGGTTACCATCAATTTTCCTTTGCGCTTGGTGAAGGATTACGAAGTGAGGTTGTTTAAATAAATTGTAGGTAATTTTTGATACGACAATCAAAGCATTATATTGAAGGTAAATCAACGCTAACTGATTCTCTGGTGTCGAAAGCAGGTATTATAGCGGGAGCAAAAGCGGGCGAAACACGTTTTACGGATACACGTAAGGATGAGCAGGAACGTTGCATTACTATTAAATCAACGTGAGATTTATTTCAATTTTTCGTAAATTTTTTGTACTGTGATTGATCTCCATTTTAGTACTATTTTAATATCGGAAAAAAAAAAGAATGTTACCGTGCGAATGTTTCAGCGCAATTTCCCTCTTTTTCGAGTTGGATGCAAGAGATCTTGCTTTCATCAAAGGTGACAATCAAGTGGAAGTCAATACCATCAATGGCGAGCACAAGAAACTTCCTGGCTTCTTGATTAATTTGATTGATTCTCCCGGCCACGTTGATTTTTCTAGTGAAGTAAGTTTGGGATAGCTGCTTCAGAAAGCCGTCTGCTCATTACAATTTTTGCACAATTTGCTCTGTTTAATGCTCCCTGGAAATTTTCCCGTTCTCTTACGTAGAACAGAGCTTTCGACCGACAACCTACACTGAAAGTTGAAGATTTGGGGTTTTACCCGTTTTACCTTTTTCCACATTCAGGTAACTGCTGCATTGCGTGTCACTGATGGAGCTTTGGTTGTTGTCGATTGTGTTTCCGGTAAGTTGCCAGTTATGGGAACTGCTTCAAGTTTAAATAATTGACCATTAACTCTTTTCATTATAATTTTGTTTGGTTATAAATTTATGATATTGCTGACTGTGTTATGAGAAACGCTGAATAAGAGCACAATTTGGTTTCTGATAGCACATTTGGGCTTTCAGGTTTTTCTGTTGTGAAATACCTATCGTGAAACATCCATTGAAAAATTTAGTGCTTCAAATTACTCCTTAATTCTCTTCAAATTTGCTCTAGTGGTTTTAAAAATTTTTATATAGCGGAAGAATGTCTCCATATCAATGTTTCAGGGGTCTGTGTGCAGACGGAGACAGTCTTACGTCAAGCTATTGCTGAACGTATCAAGCCTGTTCTGTTCATGAACAAGATGGATCGTGCTCTGCTGGAGCTGCAACTTGGTGCTGAGGAGCTCTACCAAACATTTCAGCGTATCGTAGAGAATATTAACGTTATTATCGCTACATATGGTGACGACAGTGGACCAATGGGACCAATCATGGTTGATCCAGCTGTTGGTAACGTTGGCTTTGGTTCAGGTTTGCATGGCTGGGCTTTCACGTTAAAGCAGTTCGCTGAATTCTATGCGGATAAGTTTGGAGTTCAGGTATGTGAGATGTGGTTGCTTAAACTGAGCTAATACATGTGATGTATGTGATTAGGTGCCATTTATTAGAAAAATATGACATTTTTAAGCCTGTAAGTTTATGAATGAAGTTTCAGGTTGAAAAGCTCATGCGTAATCTCTGGGGGGATCGTTTTTTTAACATGAAGACCAAAAAGTGGTCGTCAACGCAGGATGCTGATAGCAAGCGTGGTTTTGTGCAGTTCGTGCTTGATCCGATCTTCAAAATGTTTGATGCCGTAATGAATGTTAAGAAAGAAGAAACAGCAAAATTGATTGAAAAACTTGGCATCAAGCTTGCCAATGATGAGAAAGATCTAGAGGGAAAACCGCTGATGAAGGTACTGTTGAATTCTGAATGGAAATTACAGTGTGGGTGCAATGTAAGATATAAGAGCACCCTTGATCATCTTGACAGCTCTTGTTAAGCTTCAGAGTGACTTTGTCCCTAATTTATCTCATTTGTCGCCAGTTGTAGGATTTATAATGCATACTTGTGGGATAGTTATGTTGACAAGCATCATGGCAAATATCATGTTCTTTTGTAGGTTATGATGCGTAAATGGTTGCCAGCTGGCGATACAATGCTCCAGATGATTTGCATGCATTTACCATCACCTGTTGCTGCTCAAAAATATCGAATGGAAATGTTATACGAGGGGCCACATGATGACGAAGCTGCCATTGCTATAAGGAATTGTGACCCGAATGGACCACTGATGATGTATGTTTCGAAAATGGTGCCGACATCGGATAAAGGGCGTTTCTATGCTTTTGGGCGTGTTTTCTCTGGGAAAGTAAGTTTATCGCTTCCTTCTCCTTATTCAAAATAGGAAATCAGGAAATAATTTCTTCAAATATTGAACTTCCCGAGTCATGAAGGGTTTGCATATTTCAGAAAGTTAACGAAAATAAATAATGAAATAATTTTTGCAATGCGTCTCACTATTTCAACAAATTCCTCACTTTTTCTTTGAAACATTCGCCTACTATTGCAGTGTAAATGAAACATTTTTCATACTTTAGGTTGCAACCGGAATGAAAGCGCGAATTCAGGGGCCGAATTATGTGCCCGGAAAGAAGGAAGATTTGTACGAGAAAACCATTCAGCGTACAATTCTGATGATGGGACGTTATGTAGAACCAATCGAGGATATTCCATCTGGTAATATAGCTGGTCTTGTAGGCGTTGATCAATATCTTGTGAAAGGTGGTACGATAACAACATACAAAGATGCCCATAATCTGCGCGTTATGAAGTTTTCGGTATCACCTGTTGTGCGTGTTGCTGTAGAACCGAAGAATGCTGGCGACCTGCCGAAACTGGTAATAGTCGTGTTGAGCTTCTGAATTTTAAAAATTATAGCTAATTATAAATTATAATGTAAAATTATAATGTTAACATATTATAATATAGAAATTATATTGGAAAAAGGAAAAAAGTTTAAAAATTTTTAAAAATTATAAAAATTTTAAAATTATAAGAAGATTGTAATTTTTAATTTTTATGTAATCATTGTTTTCTAACAAAACTCACTATGTCCCATTATTTCGTATTCCGGTAAAGTAGGTGAATAATAATCACAGATCTTAGAAATGTGTCAGTTTTCCTCAGCAGATCTTTTTTTAATTGATGCCTCTTTTTTACTTTAATGTTTTTATATTGCAGGTGGAAGGTTTGAAACGTCTAGCGAAATCTGATCCTATGGTTCAGTGCATATTTGAGGAATCTGGCGAACATATTATTGCCGGTGCCGGAGAACTTCATTTGGAAATTTGCTTGAAGGATTTAGAAGAGGACCACGCTTGTATCCCAATTAAAAAATCTGATCCAGTTGTGTCATATCGTGAGACCGTGACCGAAGAATCAGACCAACTGTGCCTTTCAAAATCGCCTAACAAACATAATCGTCTGTTCGCCAAGGCTGTGCCGATGCCTGATGGACTCGCAGATGATATCGATAAGGGTGAAATTAATGCTCGTGATGAAATGAAGGTATGTTATTCTTTAGACATTGCGAACTTTGATCACGCAAAGCTACAATTATTCATATGTGAATATTAATATTTAAAAAAATAAATGCATCAGGTCTTTACTTTGGAATTTGGACTTTAATCAGGTTAATATTCGGTTTTTTCGACAAGATCAATTTTCAAAGTTTTTTAGGCACGCGCTAAAATTTTGGCGGAAAAATATGATTATGATGTAACGGAAGCAAGGAAAATTTGGTGCTTTGGTCCGGATGGTACTGGTGCAAATATTTTAGTTGATGTCACGAAGGGTGTGCAATATTTGAATGAAATTAAGGATTCAGTTGTCGCTGGATTCCAGTGGGCTACAAAGGAAGGTGTTCTGTGCGATGAAAATATGCGAGGTTTGTGTTTCTCGTCCAATTCGTCATTTGTAAGCATGAAGTTTTTCAGAAGCTAATGATTATGTGCATTTTAGGTGTTCGCTTCAATATACATGATGTAACACTGCATGCAGATGCAATTCATAGGGGTGGTGGCCAGATCATTCCAACAGCTCGTCGTGTTTTCTATGCATCTATATTAACCGCTCAACCACGTTTGCTGGAACCTGTTTATCTCGTAGAAATTCAGTGTCCCGAAAATGCTGTAGGAGGTTATCTTCAAGATTTTTTTATCTTTATTTTGGATCATTCCCGCAGCATCACAACGAATGATTTATTTTTGTGTGGGGGCCTGATTTTATGCTCGTCGTATGTTCCCTTATTTCATGATACTGAAAAGTTTTTTATTTCCTTTTCTATGATTAGAATTGTAAGCAGAATGTGAGTACCAAAAGCAATCCGAGCATTGCGAAGACTTTTTTCCTTGGTGATCCATTAAAAATGTCAAGTTTAGGTATTTATGGAGTTCTTAATCGACGTCGTGGCCATGTTTTTGAAGAATCACAAGTAGCTGGTACTCCAATGTTCGTTGTTAAGGCGTATTTACCGGTCAATGAGTCTTTCGGTTCGTTTATTGCAATACGTTTTTCCTTAATTCTAATTTTTCGAAATGATTATTGAGGTTAATAGAGTGACAAAAAAACGTACATAGCCTGAATTGGTTTGGATTTCTGGTAGATTATGGCTTTGAAGCAACAGATGAATGAATGCTCAGTACCTCTGCCTGTTTGGGCATAAATCTGAAGATTTAATGTTTCCTTAGATTTAAACAATTTCAGGTTTTACGGCTGATCTGCGTTCTAATACGGGCGGCCAAGCATTTCCGCAGTGTGTTTTTGATCACTGGCAGGTGCTGCAGGGTAATCCATTGGAACCAAACACAAAACCGGCTCAAATTGTAGCTGAAATTCGTAAACGTAAGGGTTTGAAAGAACAAATACCTGGCTTGGATAATTTCTTGGATAAAATGTAATTCACTCTTTTAAAATAAGTATGATTGTTTTTTATCTCCTTTTCTCGTTCCCGTGATTTTCTTTTCGCTTTTCAAGAGTTATAATTATGAAATCAAATATGTTCTAATTTGGTGTTATAGAATTAATCTTTTTTGCTGCCGTCATTGTTGTACCCTGAAGTTGCTCATTCTTCAGTTTTATATTTTTTTGGGTTTCTTAAGGTAAAGCGCATGAAACCTGTGGAACTTTTCAAGATTTGACAAAATTTATATAAACAAAATTTGTGGAAGTTCTCAAGATTTAACGATCTTTATCTTGATTGTCGTACGGTCGCGAAATATGATGTAAATCGATTAGGCATTCGTTCTTTTTATATTTTTGCTATGAAGTATGTAGACTTATGAATTATTATGTGTTGCATAAATTTCAGGAAATTTCGTAATTTCAGTTTCCTGAATGATCTTCCTTTCCGTTTTTGTGTACTGGCTAGTTATTAACAACATCATTGAGGGGGATACTTTAATGCAGTTTGTTTTTCTTTTGTTTTTGTTATGCAGCTTTCCACTTGTTGAATAAAGTAAAGGCATATATTGCTTGTTCTTTTGTTGATGCTGCTGTTTATTTACGAAATGATTTAAGGAAACTTCTTCATTACGTACTTGAAAAGTTATATCAATAATTTCCGTGCTACAGACTGTAATTAGATTGGGTTTTAGGGAAGAAAATTATTGCAGTAGGTAGTTGATTTCAAAAAAAATTAGGAAATATTTGTTGAATAAGCGAGGAGAATTGCTCTCAACTTAGTTGTAGGTTGAAATGATCCATTCAGTTTTGCTTGGAGGAAAGCATTCTATCGTAAGGGAAGGTGCGGAAAGGGTAATGAGGGAATAATTTGTATACCGTCATCTTAGTAAAGCACACCTGACGCTTTAATCCTGTAAAAAAGCGATTTAAATAAGATGATATGGACAAACCTCAAAATTGCCAAAAACATGCTCATCAATAAAACGTCAAATAGGAGACCGACCATCAGCAGCATTAAAACTTTTCGATTAATTAAAACAAACGAGAAAAGCAATATAATTAAGCATACAGGTAGCAGCATACTATCATCTTTGTTAAATGATAAACTAAAGAAATTTAGCGTCCTTTTCTAAATTATAGTTATGGGAGTTTTGTAATGCATTTACCAATTTTCAACAGAACTTTTTTCTAATTTTACTGAGATAGTAATGAAATCTCTTCTTCAGCTACTTCAGAGATATTGAAATAAACACCATAAACATATTACTAAAATTTAGAAACTTTGAAGGGTAAAAAAGACAACATAATTGTCGAAATTTTTCAAGTGTTCATTTTTTAATCAGTTGAATACATTTTCACTCTTCCTGTAATGAACTTTCTTACTCCTTTAAAAGACTTAAATATCTACCTGATTGTGGCATGCAGGTAGCAAGAGCATTGAAAAGTAATGGAAATATTCAGTATCACATGCATTTACAATCAGATAATTCTAACGATTGTTTCATATGAATTGTTCAAATTCGAAAATCTGCCGCTTAAATTCAAATTTCAACTATTGCTAAAAGAATTTGACATAGAACATAATTGCGAAGAAAAAGGGAAAAACAATAAGTAACTTAGAAATTAATAATTGTAAATGATATAATAATGCACCGACGGAAAACACAAATGATAAAAAAACCAAATAAGGCATGTCCGAAGTATCCGGAATGTCGAATTATCTGAAAATTTGCAATGAAATTTTTCCCATTTTGGTCGGACATAGACTGCAATTTCGAAATTTCATATTTTTAACACATTGTTCGATGACTTTCGTCTTTCAAATCATTAGCCTCATTTTGAAAATCTTTTAGGAAACTGTCATTAAATGTAACAAAAGTTTCGTTTTTAAGCTGAATTTGTCAACAAGGAAGCCACTGTTACTAATGTTGAAAGAATGGAATGTTTGGGATTCAAGGGATGATTATCATTACGGAAATCACAAATGTCACTTAAGCAGTTCGGGTTTTAATACCTCAGAATATTAATAAATTCAAGAAGTTGGGATTTAGTTAAACATAAAACTGCGTTGTCATTACTTATCAAGGTCGGCACTTTTCCAGCCTATTGCATATAATTGTTAAACCCTTTCAAAGTTTTTTCAACAAAAGAACCATTGTTTTAATTTTTCTTTCTTGTTCATAGATAGTGGAAAAATTTTGAATCTTATTAACTCTATCGATTTCTTTGCACAGTATTATTATTTTACTTCATTATTTGTTGTAGCAGTAATTTCAAATGAAAAAGATTATAAATCCATAAAATATTTTTTGCAGAGGCTTGGCCAGTCAGTTCAGCATAAAAGATGGGACTTGTTTAGCTTTCCTTATCGATTATCGACAACACATTTTTAGCGATTCGTTTGAATTTATGATCTTTGTGAACAGATAGCAGATTTTGGTAGTATAGAATAATATTCTTTTTTGTATATTTTATTCGTATCGAAAAATGAAAAAAATAAGCTCGAAAGGTTTAGACATATAATACCGTCAGTATATCTCTCATATACTTTATTATAATGAGGTAATTTATACATGTAGATTCAACATACTTTGATAAAACTTATGCTTCAGCCATCAGATGTACTAAAAACAACTTTCCTTTGCGCTTGGTGAAGGATTATGAAATGAGGTTGCTTAAATAAATTGTAGGTAATTTTTGATACGACAATCAAAGCATTATATTGAAGGTAAATCAACGCTAACTGATTCTCTGGTGTCGAAAGCAGGTATTATAGCGGGAGCAAAAGCGGGCGAAACACGTTTTACGGATACACGTAAGGATGAGCAGGAACGTTGCATTACTATTAAATCAACGTGAGATTTATTTCAATTTTTCGTAAATTTTTTGTACTGTGATTGATCTCCACCGTAGTAGTGTTTAATATCGGACAGAAAAAGGATGTAGTAGCTCGAATGTTGCAGCGCAATTTCCCTTCTTTTCGAGTTGGATGCAAGAGATCTTGCTTTGAGATCAATGGTGAGAATAAAGTGGAAGTTAGTACCATCAATGGCGAGCAGAAGAAACTTCCTGGCTTCTTGATTAATCTGATTGATTCTCCCTGCCACGTTGATTTTTCTGGTGAAGTAAGTTTTAAAAGTTGCTGTTGCATTTTTCTAGTGAAATAAATTTTAGAAAGTTTGCTGCCTCAGGAAGCCGTCTGCTCATTTTGCATTTTTTGCACAATCTGTTTTGTTCAATGCTTCCTGGAAATTTTTTCGGTTCTCTTACGGAGAACAGGCTTTCGACCGACAAGTCACATCAAAAATTGGAAATTTTATGCTTTACTCGCTTTTCCCCTTTCCATATTTAGTAACTGCTGCATTGCGTATCACTGATGGAGCCTTGGTTGTTGTCGATTGTGTTTCCTTTAAGTTACCAGTTATGGGGGAGCTGTTTCAAGTTTAAATAATTCACGCGTTTCATTCCATTTTTGCTTGGTTATCATTTATAATATTACCGAGTATGTTATGGGAAACGCTAAATAAGAGCACGATTTGGTTTCTGATAGCACATTTGGCGCTTTCAGATTTTTCCATTGTGAAACATCTATTCGTAATTGAAAAAGTTAGTACTTTGAATTATTCGTTAGTTCTATTCAAATTTGCTCCAGTGGTTTGAAAAATATTATTTTGCACGGTTTTTGAAGTAAAAGGAAGCTTTGCATAAGTTTCATATAGCAAAAAGAACGTCGCCATATCGATAGCCATCCTTTGAAAAATCATATATAACTGGTCCATTGTTTTTGTTATGCAACTTTCCACTTGTTGAATACAGTAAAGGCATACATTGTTTGTTCTTTTTATTGATATTGCTGTTTGTTTACGAAATGATTCAATGAAAAGGTCCTCATTACATACACACGTGAAAAATATATTGAAAAATTATATCAGTCATTTCTGTGCTACAGACTGTAATTGGATTGGGTTTTAGGGAAGAAAATTATTGCAGTAGGTAGTTGATTTCAAAAAAAGAATTTGGAGATATTTGTTGAATAAACGAGGAGAATTGCTCTCAACTTAGTTGTAGATTTAAATAATTCGGCGGAAAAGAAGGTATTCTATCGTGAGGAAGAGTGAGGAAAAGGTAATGAGAGAGTTATTTGTAGGATATTCGAAAGTAGTGATATTTTCGTATTCTTATTTATTTTTCAAATTTCATGCTACCAGCAATATAATTTATATTTAGAATTTAATTTGTTTATAAACATTAGGTGATAATAGTTATCCGCAAATGAATTTTCCTGTCTTTTATATTTAATGCTATATTTTCTCTTCCCAATATGCCTTTCTCCTCTTTCCCGTATCACTCTCTCTTTTTGAGCTAATCTTCATTTCCCAAACAAAGTTTCTTTCCTATCTATTCCTTTCTTTTTTAAAATTTATTTTAACGGGCAAAATAATATTATTTTAGATATAATTCGGTAAAACATCGATTATTCAATCGATCATTCATCGTTTCTCATTATTATTATATCTGCTGATTGAATGATGTGGCAGCATATCAATGGCATTATCATCTTTATGATCATTTGTGGATATGGTATCATTGTATGTACTCTTCTTCCTTTTTTATTTCTTAATTTTCTTTTCAAGAATGGGATGAAGTTCTATTAAATTTTTACCGCAAATAAAGGAATGAGATAATATAAAGTATATTGAAATGATATAGTAGGCACATCTTTAACTCTCTGTTTCTTTGATATTAGGATTAGCTGTCTTTTTTCATTAACTTAAAATTATCTGAGGAATGAATTGAACTGTACAAACAGCTTGTAATTTTCCTTTACATTTTTTCTTTTTACCTGTTTCTTTTTCTCTCTAGGTATGTTTAAACTAAATAATTATAGTTTTTACGCACAAGTTTTGAATCTGAATAACCTTTTGAGATCCTTTGCTTTTATTGAAAATGGAAGGAAAGATAAAAACTTCAAAAAATAACATTTAATATGTTTCAATAGGAAAGATTGAAACATCCATTCCGTCTTCTCTAAATTTATTATACTACAAATTAGATGGTACGACATTTTTTAAAAAAATTCATCCTAATTTGTCTGGCTGAAAAAATTAGAAAATATTTCCGATTGTTTAATCAATTCCATACTTGGATAGTTTTGAGGAATCGCATGGATATTACGATTCCAGTTATGCTTATCTCTTTGTCAAGAATGAATTTACTCAAAAGGAGCAAACATTTTGTGTTAATTACGAGCAATGGCGAACGCAACAGATAGCAAAGGATGTCAAAAATGCCGTTAGTTCTTTGAGCAACGAACTATTAAAATTTCTTTTTTTCTTTTTTTGCATTTAAGTCAAGTTTTATTTTGCGATTCGTAGATTTTTAATTGCGTTAAGTATATTTAATATGGCAAATTATTTGAAATACCAATAAATTGGTTCTGTTTTCCTCCATTTTGATTTTTCCGTTTTAAATTGGAATTCATCTTTGCACATTTTTTATTTGTTCTTATAAATGTGTGGTATTTGTTTTACTTTCAGATTTTGCTACAATAAAATATGGAAAGTGTAAAAGTTAAATGATTTTATGTGCGTGTGTGTGTGTGTGTTACTTATCCATATTATGTCAATGATAATGTCGCGAAGTTCTTGAATTTATTTCAGGAGATGTTACGACTTGGTTGGTGGGGTGGAACTGTTAATAATACCAATGTTTGTAATGAAGATGAACCAGTCTTGCTTAAGAAAAAAGCAGTAGCACTGAATTATCGTCTGAAAGTCGAAAGTGGATTCTGTGCAATTCAGTTTGCTAAGGAGAATATAAGCTCTAAGAAAGCTTTGCAGTATGAAGTAAGTGTACGTTTGATTTTAGGTCTTAATTTAAAGAATTGTAATTATTAATGAGGCTGTACATCAATTAAAGGATTCCATAATTTTCATGATTACAATTCAAAATATATGTCCAACAAAATCGAATCTTTCATCCCAAAGTAGCATCGCTAGATTATATTATTGAGATATTGCGGTCAAAATGTTCGAGTTGACTTGACCGAATAATTAAATACATAATTATTTGATTGATTTGATGAAATCAGTGTAATAGACATGGCAAGCGTTCAGGTCTACTTTTACCGTTGTTCACTGTAAACGATTGGTCGTATATGCTGAAATTTGCTAATGATTTCCTTGCTGCTATTTGAAATGTTGCTAAGGTTTTTTGAAAACTTTCATTGGCTTCGTTCATTTTGATATTATAACGAGTATTTTAATCTTTATATTTTTTTCATCCTTGTTGAGGTAGATCGATTGGCTTCAAGAAATGCCAGCGCTGCCATTATGCTTGTTGACAAAGGTTATAAATATATCAGCAAATGGGCAGATTATTTGGTAAATTATTCACATTTTGAATTAGAAAAAAATTATCTTTAAGATCTTTTATTTTTTCGGAAGTTTTCTTGTGCTAAAGAAATAAATTATAAAAGGAGTCTCATCTTTTAGTTTTCCGAATTTTACGATCCAGATTTCAATCAATCCACCAAACTGTCGACATTTTTCATGTACAGAACTTCATTCTTTGACGAAATGCTGGTAATTTTATTTGCATTTAGAATTTATAAGTCTTTTAATAAAGTTAGAGAGCTATCTCTTCCGAATATCAAATGATTAGCTGTATCCCAAATTCTAATACAATCTTATTTGTTCTGATGATACTTGCAACTGTCATTCGGATCGATGCAATAAGCTCTTATATCTCTTACATAAATAATCTATTAGTCTATAACTGAATTTTGTGTTGTTTTTGTTGAAAGAATAAATGAGTTATGCGCAGTTGAACTTTTAAAGAGATTCGAATAAGAGCGGTGTTGTGAGATAAGGTAAGCTAGGCAATAAATAATAGTTGATTGAAAATATCCAAGCCGGACTGACATGCTGTCTCTTTTCTCGACATATATTTCTGTCTTGATGTAAACACTTAAACCTTTTTAATGATTGTAAATCATAGCATATTTCAGAAATTGAGTAGCGATAGAAGTGGAAAAGAATTATTGCTGCAATTCTATAGACCGCTGGATTCTCAGTGGGATATATCCATGTTAATTATTTGGCTTATAGCTGTATTTTGTGTTACAGTAGGTGGATATTGGGCAGCCCTCTTAAAAATGTTAGTTTTTTTTCGTTTAATTTCATCCAAATTACAAAGAAATTGTATAATCACCATTTAACTGCGTAAAAGTTGCAACTGGAACGTAGTTACTATTCATGTCGGTGTTAATTTTAATATAATGGTTGCTTATTGTGCTGCGATTATTAAAATTAGGAATCATTTTAAGATTATTTATAATACTGATTGATTAAGTGAAGTTGTTTAGCGGTGCTATTTAGTGATTATGTTAAGGTTGCTTGTAGTGCTGTAACTGCATAGAATTATTTTCGAAATTTTTTAACTGATCCAATTACGTTTGGTAATAATTTATCTTTTATGTTTATTTGTTGATTAATAATTATTGATGATCGTAAGCTTATTCGAAGATAATAGCTATTGGTTCTATAGAAATATTATTATTTAGATATGAAGAAACTAGTATTTTTCGTGGATCTCAACAAACTTCGACTACTGAAAGTGTACAAAAATCAAGAAGTTGGCTAAATGATGAACAAACAACTTCAACAAATTGCTTATTTATTATCATTGTGATGCTTATTATTATTGCTGTTTTAATGCTTGGTTTCTATTTTCGTGCTGTTATGGGTAGGTAAACAGCCTTTATTTGTAGTTGTAAACAACTATTTGCTAAATGAACTTTTTTTTTGCCTTTTTTAACATTTTTTTCTGCTTGACTTTTTGGTGCGCTGGTTTATTTTTTCATAGCACTGAAGATCTTTCGAGAGACTGATAAACGTTTCTTAAACTAATCTGAGCTTCAATCTTCACTTGTTAAAATCAGCTAAGTAAAATAACGATCATAAGTTAGGAAAGGAGGGAGAATAAGGAATGCATAATTGTGAAATAATATAAAATTTTGCAGTATTCATTTTCAACATATTACTTGCAATCACTGGCACATTCAGTATTCATCGTTGTTTAACGGCATTATTTGGATCGATTTGCAAATGTGGCCACTGTCGGGTAATTTTACTACTGTTAGTAATTGAACACAGTTGTAATAGAAGTTACGATAGAATTAGTTTTTGTTTCATTAACGAATTCTACATTTGATAATTGAAATTCGATCTACTTCCATATTTATTATTTTTACGCTTTGTTAGTTCAATCATTTACTGATTCAAATTGGTTGCTTATACGCCATTTTGAAAATGATAGTTGATTGACTTTGAGCTGAGCGGACGATGGCAAATGTTGGTTAGAAGTTTGAATCAGTAAGTGATTGAACTAACAAAGTGTAAATCCCATGAAATCCTCGAATCCTTGTTAACTGCAACAAATAAATCAAACTGAAAAAGCCCTGTGTGGGCTTTTTCAGTTTGATTTGTTTGTTGCCCTGTGTGGGCTTTTTCAGCTTGATGTGTTTGTTGTAGTTAACAAGGATTCGAAGATTTCATGGTCTCTGTTGAAGCATATTAATGCTTAAGAGCTAGGTAGTTTATGGCATTTGAGGTATTATTGTATGTATATATCTGTGTGATTCATGCATAACTACATAAAATTTTTAGCTAGCAGTTGCTTGAACTTTTATTTCCGAAGTTTAATCAGTATTCCTTCAATACTACTTTTTCTTCCTGGTGTTTTCACCCGCAAAACATAATTTTCATTTGATGAAGAAATGTTTAAGATATGCATCTCGATGAATGATGTAACACGATCGATATTCCGGCGTGATTTATTCAACTACGAATGTTGCACCGAACGACCGCTTTTAATGTCTGTCATGATGTTTCTCTGTGCAGCATCATTTTGTATCACCTGGTTTGTATTCCGACGTCATCCATATGCATTTTTACTGCTTGATTTCATTAACATCGCAGTTTGCATCCATATTTTAAAAGGCCTTCGATTCCCGAATTTGATGGTAAAATACTTTCAAATTTCGTAAAAAGTAAAAATAACTTCGAAAGATTTAGAATCACAGAGAATTGCTGTTACTGACTAAAATTTCGAGAAATTATCATGCGAGGTAAATTTCAATATTTGTTGCTTTCATGCATGATCAATCCGAGTATTGGCGAAACAATTTTCTCAGTAATTAGGTAGATCACAGTGGAATCGTCGAATAATTTGAAAAACAAGAAGAAATAAGATATCCATGTTGATGCTTTATATACCTATGATAATTTAGTGGTTGACAATTCTTCTGATGTGCATGTTTGTATATGATATGTTCATGGTATTTATCACACCTTTTCTTACTAAGAGTGGATGTTCCGTGATGATTGAGGTAGATTTTTTGCATCAAGCTATTCTCACTTATATAATTTGCTGTCTTTTTATTTTCCATCATTCATAATTTATTTACTTCAGGCAAAAAATCTTTGCATAAATTATAGTTCTATCTGTTTTATTTTCTACAAAATTATACTTATACGTTTTTATCATTTACAGGTTGCAGCTGGAACGGATTGCTCAAAAGCAAGTGGTGGTTATCTTGTAGCACCAATTAATACTGATGTACCGGAAAAGGTAGCCTTTATCCCAAAAATTTTGTAGGAAAAAAAAAAGAATTCTGACATTTTCGGATTATTTAAATGATTAGGAAAGTTAGAAAAAGTTGGAAGTTATTTTTCAATATGTGGTATATTTGCAGTTTCCAATGCTTTTCCAAGTACCACGATTAAGCGATCCGATGATTTCATGCATCGATTTAGAAATTGAAAAGGGATTCCATCCAATAATCCTTGGATTAGGTGATGTTATATTACCTGGTTAGTGTTTTTCTAAACAAGAATTTTATAACTTATAAAGCTTCCTAGTTGTTAATAGGAATAAAAATTTGAAAAAATTTAGTAGTGATAGTGCTTTACGCGAAAATTTATTTCCAAACCAATATTGAGATTTTTTAATTTAAATTTCATCGCTAATTGACATGAGCTATTTCTTTACCTATCGTGATGGATAAAATGGAACATGCCGGACCACATTTAAATGCTGGAATAAATCTTATTGTTTTGTATTATATTAGTCAAATCAATAAAAATTCAGATTTCTCTGAGTCCTACCTCAATCCATCCCTTTTTTGTAAGATATTCATGATGAGCATGAGCGGCGCATTTTGCGTCAGATCTCTCAGGTATCATCTCTTTTTATAACTTAACCATCTAATAATCTTAACGCAATAGCTGATTAGTTTTCTGATGAAAAATGAGCAATGAGTTTGTTGCTTGTAATCTACTGTGATTCCTAGAAGAATCGATCATTCATTTTTTTTTCTTTTCAAATAGGTTATCTGATCTGTTTTTGTTTTACTGTCGATTTCGTTGTTCGCACACGTCATCTTTATGGATTTGTTTCAATTATCGGTTGGTCATTTTTTCTTAAATTTAAAGCTTTACTGATTTTATTCACATCTATGCTTTTACTAATTCACGTATACATTTTTTTTTACTTCTGCGAATATATTAAATTCATTTTATTCTGAGAGGAAATTCCTGAATTTTGTCATATTTTCAGGTTATGGATTTGGTCTTATTGTAACATTCATCGCTTTGACCTTGATGAAAACTGCACAACCTGCTTTAATTTATTTGATACCTTTTACATTAGCACCCATTATTATACTTGCACTCATTCGGCAAGAGTTTAAACTTCTTTGGACTGGAGACTTTCCGAAATCTGAGGTTATTAAGATTGTTATACTTTAAAAAAATTCCCAAAATCAAATTTGTACAATTTTGCACTCAAATTTGTACATCAATTTGTTAAAATTTTTTAATTAGAAATGAGAGAAAAAGGACAACAGAAGATTTGACCTCATTTTACATTTAACAGTAATACGTAATTAAATAATATCAATTCCTCATAATTTTTTTAATCGTTTAAAGAATTTGCCTGGCATATTTAATCGTCTTCTTACAATGTTTCATGAAGTTTTATTAGGATTATTGAATACTTTGGAGAAGTGATTTGATTTAATGTAGTTAGAACTATGGTTTACATTTTCCCATGACACGTTTTCTCTTTTTTACTTACGGGGATGAGTAAACATACACTGAAAATAGCTTTTAAGATTGTTCGTTTTGCTTAAATTATCGGGTAGCTTCTATCAATTCCAGATAAAACTTCACGTCTTGAAAAAATGTTTTATAGAACCGAATGACGTAAATATTGATGAGTATCCTTTGACACTTCTCTGATTTTTATCAAATTAGAGAAAAAGCGAAATTCTGGAATTCTCATGTTCGCAATGAATACAGCCAGCAATGGTCTTAATTCGGGAATTCGATAGAATTGTTTATAATGCTCATTTCACATATTTCCTTTTACATTTAGCTATTGGTTTTTATTCTTGTTCATTTATTCAGTTGCTTTCATTTATGCCTGTGATATATTTGTTGTTATAAATTGATGGTAACAAATTCAAATGCATATTTAAGCACGTTTTTTTTCGATGATATGCCGAATGTATATGATCATTGTTAAAAATTACTCACAGTACTAAATATTTTCAATACAGTATTCCTTGATTAAGCAATGTAATGGCATTTCGATATTATTATACATGCAGTTCGTATTTTCGTAATATTGCGATATTATTATACATACAATTCGTATTTTCATACATGAAGTACATAACAAATCACTTAAACAAATTAAATATATCTAATTTTAGCGATCTTTTATCTTTATTTTTTACGGTTTTTTTTGCTTCATATCCCATTGTTTTAATTGCATTTTCAAATTATTATTTATTATTATAAGGCGTGGTTCCTTTGTTATTTTCGTTTTCCTTTTTTATGCTAGCAATTTTTTCTTAATTTCTTACTTTAATAATATCGATATTCATTTGTTGTTATATAGACGAGCTATTCTTTTCGAATTTTTTCGCTTTTTTCGTTTGTAATGGTTAAATTTTTTAATTGGAAATAATACATTACAGATGATCAGGAAGATATATATTCGAATAATTAATATCAATGCTTACATTTTTAAAATTTTAAATCAATTAAATGATACTTAAGTCTTACTTGCGTATAATAACAATAATACGTATTATACGTATCATACTTTTCTGAGATTGATCAGCTATGTGATCACAATGCACTACTTATGTGGAGCTATTTGGAATAATACGAAATACATCCAGAAATAAACATCATATGCAAATGATAAAAGTGTTATTGTTGGCATGGAAGAATGTTGCAAAGTTTTCGCGCTGTTTCATCATTTAAAGAAATTATGAAATAGATCGAATAAAAATTTTAAGTTAACGTTATAGTGAATTGTACATTTACTTTAGGTGCATGTCTATGTGCTACTTAACGAAATATTTGGTAAAACTATCGAATTGAAAATTCTTTCAAAGCAAGAATACAACGATGACAACGCATATATTTGAGCTGACATTAACAACGATCCCATAATATGTGTCACAATTATAGTTCACACTAAGTGTTCATAATATTCGATTCAAATATACAATTCATATTACGACTCATTATATAGTTCTAATTCAGTTGCACACAATTTGTACTGTAATTCATACAACACTGATTTAATTTTTATTTATATGCCAATTAAAAATCTAAAATTAATTAAAACTTAAGCGGCATGTGCAATTATTATTTGCTATCGCATTTTGATTCATTTATACGATTGTCATTAATATTTTCATAAATCATATTAAGCCTTGATAAATATTTGATACTAAAAAAATTGATTGCACTAGATTAAAAATGAACCGATAATTCCTAGAAATTTCAATTAATTCATATAATTAATTAATTACATTAGCATTATTTTGTTAACAATACAATTATTAACGAAACAATATGGGTGAATATTTTATTATAATATAGAAGATTTTTATACATAAAAAAAGAATACAACTTTAATCAGCATTTTCAGGTAAGCAATAATTTTATTAACATATTTCATTGAGTTAAATAGGAAAAATAAACTATCAAAAGAATATTTTATTCATTAATCAATAATAGAATACTTAATAACAAATACTAAAGCCATTAATTATTGGATAATTGAAGTATTAACTTACGAACGGTTACGAATATTCGGATATTTTACTAGTGATATAAATATTTGAATAAATTGATGTGAAAAAAATTTAGTAATAAAATTTTTGAAATAACAACATTTTATAATTAGCAGAGATAAAAGCCATTGAAAAATTAAATTTTATTTTAAAACTTGAATTAATTCCAAAAGTTTTCTTCCTTTGACTTTAATTTTTATTAAATTTTAATTTAAATTTAGCCAAAAGTTAAGATATTCTTTTTATTACTTTTTAACATATATATTCTATTATTTCTTTAAAATTTAATTATTATATTTTTGTTTCAAAAATATAATAATTAAGGAATTAAAAATGAAAAACTTTTTAATTGATTAATTAAAAATAACTATCAAATGATAATTGAATTATAATAATTATAAAAATTTTTCATTGCTAATTATTTTAATTTTTAATAAATGTTATTTGTGCAAATTTATTCTAACATTTGCTATAACAATTAGAAATGGACAAATGCAAAATAATTTATTATTTTTGATAAAATGCAAAAAAATTTCATACTTCTTCTTTGTTATAATCTTTGATTAATTTTATAAAAAGAGTAATTAAATTTTTGTAATTATTAAAATAAATTGTAATTATTAAAAAATATATTAAAACAAATTCATTCATTCTATTTTAACTATAAATAAAGTTTTATTGTTTATTTGTTATACATCTCATACATTTATATATATATATATATACATGAGATGCTTTTTAAGTCATTTGTTATTTGTGTTACAACTATACGAGCGTTTTTACGCGCTTAATACATTATCATTTAAATATGATAATTGCGCGCATTCCCGACTGAAGTATGTTTGTTTTCAGTGTGTTTGTTAAACGATATTTCGGTTGAAGTGTAGTTTTACTAACTAATCGATAATTTATGTTCTTAATTATGGTTTATTTTCTATTCAAACGTATGCATACATTTTATATTCATAATTATATCACAAAATTAAACATTAATTTCATATCAAATTGTCAAATTAAACTATACATCTATTTACATATATTACGCATGAAATGAAGATTTATTTTACTCGTACATTATATCGAATGTGATTGGTATTTTTGTTGTTTAATTCGTAGTTCTTCAAAATAAATTACATTCATATCATTTGTCAACGTTGAAAACGTAATGCTATCATGATTTTAATCTTTGTAATAAATGTTTCAGCAATAAAAAAGAAAAGAAGTAGAGAAGTGTGTTACCTGAGGTGATGATGACGCCAGAACAATGTGAATTTCTTGCCGGTAATGAATGGATTCAGGTTAATATTTTCCTTTTTCCTCCCTACGCAATAATCATTAATCTGTTGAAGCGTTTTGTTTTTGTGATAAAAAATTTAGTTAGTTTTTTGAAATTATAAGAGAAAAGTTTAAGTTTTGAAATAATAAAATATACTAGTAGCTTTATTTCTTTTTGGAAAATGCTTTGTATCTTTGCTTTGCTCTTTTATTTTCAACAAATTTATCTACATTGAATCAAATCTAATGAAAAAAAGGTATACATATAAGATAATAATATATTTATAAATGATAATCAGTTTCATTTTATAGATCAATCCACAATTTAGCTTGGATGAATTACGTCTAATAAGTGGTGATATTGGACCATTCGAAGCTGGTATGCCTATTTGGGTACCAATCTGGGTAGCAGTTACTTTAAGAAAACGTCGCAAGTGTACTATCATTGTTGGTTTCTTTCTTTAATGATTACTTTGAATTTATTATGGCTGATAATTGTTACGCAGTTGTGATATAATCCAAAAAATTTTGATTATGCAAATGTGTTCTCTAAAAAGATTGTAATTTCATTAATAATATTTCTACTTCAAATGCTTTTTCTCATTTAAAGCCACCAGAATGGCTGTGTGTAGAGGAATTGAAAAAACTTGTAATAGCGGAAAGTGAAAGTAATGCATTTGGACAAGTTCCACGGTTCTATTTGGAAATAGCTCATATGTTCGTACAATACGCCAAAGAAGATCTTCCGGATAGCGATTTGGTTTGAAGTTTCATTTTTGATTAGGATGAATGAAATGGATCCTTAAAAAATTAAGATTGACTACGTAAGTCCAGATACTTCTGTCGAAAGTCAAAAAATTTGGTCGTTACTTCCACTGGTCATTATATGAGTATTTTATCAGTTAAAATGAATGTAAAGAAATAATGCGACATCATTCTTCCTTGCTTTACAAACTTCCAGAACGATTAAGCTTCAATCTATTGTTCTGTATTGAAACCTTTGTGGTATTTTCTTATTGTTGGATTTTTTTTACATAGAAATATTATATTTCTAGCGGAAAATCATTTCATCCATAAATGGCAGTAGTCATGAAATGGAATGAATGAGAAAACAAGGGATGGAACACTCCTCTGAGAGTAAATTGTTCTGAATGACAATAAAACGAAAATGAAACAAACTTCCTTTACTTCAAAACTTGCTTAAACTGGTTTAAGATATTTTATGAATGCTGCCCCTCCATGCGTATTATTTTAATAGCTGAAGTTAATCGTATAGCATACGCATATATACTAGTCTTCCATCCTATAAATCTTAATAAATAGCTCTTTGTTACAATATAAATTCCAATATTAATACATCAATATGTTGTTCACAGTGATAAATCATTCACATTAATAAATCCAAGTGAGCAAAAGTAGTTTTTTACAGTATTACAATTCTTTACAGATACGAGTTTACATACAAGACTTATGGGATAAGCGATCCGCGAAGCTCAACAATTCATCGACTAAATTTTTGGGACAGGTATATTTACATTTTTTGGTGGAAAAGAAAGATGAGGATGAAAAATTGTCTTTCAATATATTTACAAACAAAAAATCCTTAATAGTTATATCAGTTACATACGTAGTAGCACAAATCCAAATAAGCTGCAATTGAGCATTAATTTTTACCTTTATCAATCTAGGCTGGAGCTCGACACTAAGACGTCATATTTGAAAGAAATGAAAAGTACTTTTAGAACAATCTTGAACTTAAACTATACAACAGCAATACATGTGCAATCACTTTTACACATTTTGCATAGTTGAGCAAACGGGCAATTGTCGAGTACATATATCAATCAGACATAGTTGACGATAGAAGCAAACATGACATTATAAGCGTTAATGATTATGTAACACATCGGTAATAAGAACTACCTGTCTGTACAACATGACATACCTCAATTATAATTGAGACACATCCATTTATGAGATAATAGCCGAGACAAACACAGAAATTCTATAATAGGTGATCCAAACAAAAAAATCAAATGTTTACAAGATTTTATAAAATTGCCTTTGGCCTGTTTACAGGTGGAATCATGTCATGCAAGAATGGATAACATTACCTTAATGGAAGTGGCATACATTAAACGATCATTAATTATAGCCAGTCGCGAAATTGAGGCGCTTAACAAATCGTTCCATGAATTATCCAGTCAAAATAGTAGTGATCAAAGATATGTTGTGGCTTGAAAAGAAATTTCTTATTATTCCTTTATGCAGAGTACTACTCGTTCCTATACTTTATTCCTATTCTATTGGATCATTTCAAGAGGAACATAACGAAGAAATAATGACATACTAAGAAAGGTCGCACATTTTCCATTCGAGAACCCTCTCTTACCCTTATTTCCTTTTCATTCCGTTTTTATTCATATGGCAATTGCTGTGAACAACCAAAATAAAGTCATTACCAGGAGCTTGTACAACAGGTTAAAAAGTTATAGTAACCTCTACGCTTTACCAAAAAAATTCAGGATATTAATTCCGAAAGCACTTTTCCTGCTTAACAGAAAATTTATGGATATCGAATGCAGCATTAAATTGCTTTTGCCTCTTCATATTTCATTTTTCTCCGTCGACAGTACGTCAGCAAAAATGTCTGCAATATTTCCATTAAGGCGTCCACTGCAACAGGATTACCGGCCACTATTTTTAACGCTGTAAACATTTGTTCCTCTGTACAACCTCTAAAATATAAAAGGTATGAAAATTCTCAAAATCCCATTACGAATGGTATCAGCTACTCGTCATATATTTAGCTAAAAACTTAAAAATTTTACTCACGATAAGTCATTAAATCATTTACAGAAGCTCGACTTGTATATTTTACAAAATTTAACTAAAACCATAAAATAAAAGACAATAAAGAAGCCGTTTTCGTTCATAAGCGACACGACAATATAAGTAATAAAATGCAAGACAATCATTCTTTTATTGTAGCAACATTTCTGCAAAACTGATCTAAAAAAAACCTGAGCAGGCAGCTTATACAAGCATCCCTTAATACGTTACACATATCGCTTCCGGTGGAGAGCATAACTTCCAGATAATTCGGCAATGTTTCACCGTTGATTAAATTTCTGAGCGGACTTTCGTGGGCTAATAACTTGGAGCTTATTCCCATACAGAGATAACGATCTGACAGCTGCAACATTTTCCATTTATAACTGCCTGTTTATTTCTTATTCTCTGAATTTTCGCGGATATAATGCAAGTTTAGAGAAGAGTTCCAGAATGCAAAAAAGCAATGTAGTTCATGCTGTCGAAGATGAAATCCAATGAGTGCACAAGACCATGGCAACATGATACAATGAGAGCAGGAAATATATAATAGTTACCTTTAGCAGAGCCGGTATATCACTTTCACTTATTTTGACGCATGACTTGCCACAGCCACTTAAATAATGTAAGAAAGTGGAGAACAAGTGAGAAGAACATTGTTCTTCCTCTTCGTCAAATTCAAATGTGTCTTGGAATTGCTCCGAAAATCCACCACCAAACATACCCTAAAAGTCAACATAAATTCCCATAGATTAGTTCTAAAGAAACAAAGAGTCCACGCAAAATTTATTGGGGGTTGAAAGTATTTCGTCATTGCAAGGATTAAAAACATACGTTAATTCGGAAACGTTAGGCTACATTAGGAGAATTACCAGCTGCTCTATGCTTTGAAAAAACGTGGCTTATTTAAATAATTATCCGCAAACAAGCGGGACATTAGAAAGTGCAGTACCGAAGGAATTCAAAAAAAAATGAATTTTTAAGCAAAATGTAATTTCCTTAAATAATTAATTGCAGCAGTTGCCAAGTATTAAAAAATATTCAACTATATTAAGTCATTTGGTTAAAAATTAAATAAATTATCTGTGTGTAGTATAAATTAAAGAGAACACTTGTGTACAGCATCTCATTTCGATACCTACTATAAGCTAAAAGTAATTAATTTTTTAGAAACGTAATGCATTTCAATAATCCTTAACCTAAGTTAAGTCAATAGCCAATAATCTTTTGGTTTTAATTAATAATTAACAATCAATAACCATTCTTTAATTTAATGCTATATGCATATACAATGGTGAAATTGAATCCCAATAAAATGGCAAAAAATTTACCCGGAAATATTCACTCCCTTCACACAAACGTTTTTTCGGAACAACTTCTGTTATATTACCATATTTGAATTTGATAAATTCTGGTAAACTGGATGAAGTCGGCACGGCCTTTCTTGACAGTAACGTTGCTTCCTTTACAATACATCTACTAAGCGGCATATCATTATTGATGTAAATGGTGATATCATTCCAGATAGCGTGCAACGAATTCAACAGGACATCTGATGGAACCAAAAATGATAACGCAACCAAAATTTGACGAACTAATGTTGGCTGAAAAAATTAAATTAGATCCAGAAGAGATATATCCACTAATTAATTAATTTTGAAAATTAATGCACAGTCAATCAACTAATATCACTGAAGGATCAGCAAATTCCTTTCAATGTTATCTATTACGATGCATTGGACAAGGTCATGCATATTTCTATTGAAAAAAGCTTACGATGTTAACCATCACATCATTTGATTTGATTCCTATCAATACTCTAATGATTAAGATCTTCCTTAATATCGACAATTGTTTGGCGAAATGGGACTATGTAATTCGGTAAAAAGGTTTCACGGTTTTCAAAGTCATCCGTCATTTCCATTTATTTTTATTGCAATTACAGAGCATAAATTTACGTTGAACAGAGATCAAACAAACATGCATAAATATGCATATGTACTTTTAAGCATGACTTTTGCCATATTTGATGAGTAAGTAGCTTTATTTCCCGTACATACTAATCAGAGAAAAAAGTTGAAGTCTAAGAATAACTTCTGGCGCTACTTAATAAAATCCTGATCAAGATCGTTATTCTCCTACTCCTAAGTGCCAGATATTTCAGGATTAAGTGGATTCGAAAAAGAAAGTATACCCCATCACAATACGTTGTTATTTGCCAATTTTCTTCATAATTGCTATCAACCAATATTTCACGTAATTTTGCCAAGAGACGCTCAACCGGTTTATAAGTTACAAGCATGCGTTTCCAGTTATCGACTCTTCTGAAAAATGTTCGAAAATTACCTACATCAATTTGAGGAAGAATTGTTTTACTTTGTAATTTTAGTTAACAAAAATAAACGTAAGTTCAGCTAAGACCTTTGATTCGTAAGAGCAAATTCAATGAACAGAGATCAAAAGCAAGTAAGTAAACAGTGTTCTAGCTTGTGCTTAATGCTTAATTGATGCAAGAAAATGCTTAATTGATGACTGAAGTCGACAGAGACCTTATACATATATAACAATCATAAATTGCTTCATGTATGTTATCCAAATATACGTAGTATTCTATCATGGTTCTACATAGTTTTAGTTATAAATGATTCGGAAGTGTGATTTTAAAACATTAGTACTATTCGAAGACATTGATAAACAACATGTTTCTAAGGAATGGTTTTGAGAGTATGGAGCAGTGATATTCAATTTCAGCTTCAACATAACCAAAGCTTTTGATTTATCTGTCATGTTGAATCTCAATTTCTTTCAGTCAATTCAACATTTGTAATTTGTGGTATGTAATGCTATTTCACATTATTTAGCAATATATGAAAGAGATACCTAACGAGGTGCAATGTTGCAATACAAGCCTTCATTTGTTCAATTTCATTGTTTGATTTGTACACATTTTTGAGTACTTCTAATCCGAAGGGTGCATCGATATGAGATGAAAATTCTTCCAACAATGCATTACCAAAATCATTTCTTATTGCACATTCTGAACACTTTGAAATTGGTCTGAAAATTTAGACACCTATGGATGAATTCTACGCAGAGGCCCATTTATGATTTCTTAATGACATGGTACCAGTTGCTAACTAGATAGGATATAATCAAATGCTAGCTATTATAAAAAAAAAACTAATTTCTCAGCTTTTAGAAGGGAGAGTTAAGCATATGTTTTGTTGAAATGTAAAACAGAGATCTATGCTAAGAGTATTTGAAATTGAAATTATTCAATCATTTGATGTATATATATTAATATGGCGAACAGCAGCCACATTCTCTATCATGTTATATGAATCACATATATTCGCATCATGGCGACAAAACAATCGAACAAGGAAGCATACTTTTCGACTTCGCATTTCCGTGTCAATAGAATATGCACAACAAGGGTATGCAACTCCAAACGAGACAAATTTTCGACTGCTAAACGATGTCGAAAAATTCGTCGTATTGTACGCGGTGCTTTGGAAACCATCGATGGTGCCTCAGAGATGTAATGCAACAAAGTGCTGACAACCTGAGAAAAAAGGAAAACAAAAATAATGAATGAGATTTTGCACTCTTGTAAATGATGTGCTATATAGGAAAGTTTCGATAAAGACAACCTCACCACACTTCCTACTTACTCCAATTATTTTTCTTGAAAAATTTCTCAATTCTTGCTTACTTAATTCGAACTGTTATTCTTTATTTCCCATAATTTTCTTCATTTGACATGCTTAATAAATATTGATGTTCGTTAAACTTATAACTACTCTCTGTAAAAACTTTGTCTTTTTATGAATAAATAACATAAAAATGCTACTTTTGATGTAATCAGTCGCCTCATATTTGACTCGCTATGTGATAACCAAGCCAAAATGTACAGTTCACCAACAACGAGCTAAAACGACTTATATGGTACACAGCAATATTCATAATCTACTAATATAATTGGATATGTGCCAAACACGGACTTCAACATTAAATTCATATTTTAACAAAACAAAACCGTCACTACCGAAACATCCTCCAAAAATTCAACACTTTGCACTTCTCTTTCATAAATAACCAATTGCTTATCACTATACTCATTAAATACAATGAACGAGATTCCCCAAACAGTATATTGTAGCATAGCTTAAAATTTAAATTTTTTTTGAAATTAGATCATCTTTCATTCCAAGGATGCTATTTCTGACATATGATAAAAGTGCTGATAGTATTTTTACTAAAACAAACTAATAATTAAAACGTACCTCCGTATTCTTGTAAGATACATGTGAAGAACGAATCAAATAACTGTCATTATTATTTGTTGATGTCGGGTGTTCCATGCATTCAATGTATTCATCCATCAGCGATGTCGGTGAACTGCAACTTTCACCTAACAGTTTACTTTCTCAATACAGCGTTAACGGTGACATCCAAAAATTTCAATCACTTGAACCGATTTTAACATTGTCAGTTAATATTACATGCGACTTGATCACTAACTTACTGCTATATTTCCGAAATAAAATCTAATAACTGATTCTTGTTATTATGCATAAAAACAGAGCAGTCTTACACCAAGAATGATCGATTATATTTACCAATAATACCTAATTTATCACGTTGCACTAACATAATCAAACAGGGAGTGAAAAGATGGACTTCAGATGTTCCAAACATTTTATTATATCGTACATATTATTTTCTCATTGTTTCTTAATAATGTTGGCATGTTCTCTGTTTGCTTTTCAGCATAACTTGGTATTTTGTAGTTTTACTCCATACATAATAAGTAGTTTTACTACATAATAAAGAGAAAAACTCAAACAGTGATATTCTTTTTGGTGACATATGCGGTGAGCACATTCCAGGTGGTGGTGATTGCGATGGACTCCAGGAAAATTCGACTAATCTTCTGGATAAGGATGCATCGGAGTCCACAAAGTGGGTAAGCACATCCAAATTCGTTGAATTATACGGCACCAACTGCAAATAATTTTCTTTCGCAAAAACAGATTGAGATTGCTTAGTTATTTCAAAGTCTTTTAAAATCTAAAGCAAAGTTTTCACATTTAAACATTATAACTTTCACGATAATGTTCAACCTTAGTTAGCCACTTTACTCAAAAAAATGGAAATCATATTTTGACATCGCTGTGCTAATCGCCGAATTTTGACTAGAAGATACTTACCAACATTTTACAACATACGCATTCTGTTTTACGACCTAATTTGTGAAGTGTACACTTGCCAACCGCTCGATCTCGCATCATCTGAAACATGATTTCATCAAATATATCAAGAAAAATTTAAATCCGTTGAAGGAAAAAAGGGAGAAAAATAAATCAATGTTGTAGGTTGTAAAAACAGTAATCCGATCTTATTTAATCAAAACTGCAATCCTATTAGCTTAAAAGCAACTTTGCTAACTGAAATTCGCTAAAATTATAAATAGTAGAGAAATATCTGCTGCACAAAAAAATTTTTAAATAACAATTTTTCAGCGCCACACTAGTACAAGACTAATAGATTTATGAAAAAAAGGTTTCTAAACTTAAAATAATTTAGACTCAGCTAATGCTATTTTCATGATATGACAGATTATAACGGGTACGTGAAATTGAATTACCACACAAACGGACTTTAGACATCATGATAAACAATACAAATAAATGTATCAACAATCTGTAATTTAAGAAGGTCAAAGATTAGAAACGAAAACTGGTAACTTACACTACAAGTACGTTTACTTCTATTCAAATAAAGATTGATGTGGTCCACAACAATATCCAGAAATTTGGTAGAAAATGTCAAATAGCTTAGTCCACTTCCATCATGAACAAAGTGTCTAAAACTTGAATATATTCATAGAAAGTTATACAAATCACTGATAATATTATACAAAAAACTCCCTAATTTACCAATTCCTACCTATTTTCCTTCTTCCCTGGATGTGCCGAATCTTTCTTTCATGACTTTTCTCCCTCTTGCTACTTACCTTTTTCATTCCATCCATCTCTCTTCAACATTAAATGATAAGTGTAAAATGGACAATACAACAAGTGTGCCGTACCGAAGTGTGTTGACAATCAGTTCCTGCTGCACAGAATCAGCTTTTTCGAGTCCATCAACAAGAATATCCAGAGCACCATGTCCACGAAGTGCTGCTCGTCCCCAGGCATCCTAAATCTAATTAGCCAATTCAAAAATATTCAAACATACCCGAAAATTTGATCTGCTCCATTTGAAAAATCTATCTCTTTCTTCATTTATACCCCTCACATTACCATCTTTCTTCTTTACAACTCTGTATTCCGAAAAAGAAAATAAAAAACATCTCAAAACCACTCTTCCTCCAATTAAATTTAAAGAATATTTCTCCCTTCCATTAATTCCTCTAGGTATAACCTGTGCAAAGCACAAAAGCATCTTCAGCATATATTCAGGACGTGGATGTGTCTCAACAATTTTCGTTATGCAACCCGGTGTTTCGAACTGTTCGCGAAGTTCAAATGAGGCATTACACATTTCCACAATATAACTTTCGCATTGACCTTTCAGGAAGCAATCCAATAAAACACCTACGCCATTGCTGAAACATAAGATGCAAAAAAAAATAGCAACAATTTCTCACTCATCTCGCTTACCGATACGTAATTACGGCTTTTTCTACTAATATCTTATTATGATGTTGTAATTTTGACTTTTCTGATATGAAGGAAAAACCCGATCTGGATAAAGATATTTCGTTCCGATCAGGAAGCACAGACATTCTCTTAATTTAACTGGATAATACAAAAAGCTATCATCCGATAAATGAATTCAAAATTTTATTATTTAAAAAAGAAAAATTTTGTTGTAGTTCAACCTTCCTGCTAGTTGTCGTCCAATTCGTTTCGTACCTTTATACCGGACAAAGCGACAAATTAATTGTAAAACGGCGCGCTGTGTCTCACATCCAAAGGCCCCACTCATTTCTTTTGTACGATACAACAAATTACCCATGTAAAGACCGATATTTGATAACAGCAAACGCTAAAAATATTTACTTTAAAACATTTTCAAATTTTCAGATTCCTAGTTAAATTCAGCTGAAAAGAATATAAAGTAACCAAATTTAATTACCGAAATTAAAATCTTTTTGACATGTGTCCTACTTCAGCATATTCTATGTCAGTCATAGTTTTGGTATAAGAAAAATTTCTTTTTCGAATGAATTAAAGACGACATTACATATATATGTTTGAGATCTGTTTGGATGACTCCATTTAAGTTATTCTAATCATTTACTTATTTCATAACGTATTAGCAAATTTCTCTTTGCTTATTCTATCACACGTAAAATGTATTTTTGATTCTGAGTGGCTAAGACATTCCATTTGCACTCCGTCCAAGGTAATGGAATTTAAGACCACGCTTCTACTGATGAATAATGGGTGCGTCGCAACGGAAGAAGTGTTTTGCGGTTGAAAAGCAACGTACCTTGGAGTTTAATAATTGGGTTTTATCTTTTAATATTTAAGTTCGAAACCAAGATTTAAGCCCTATATCTTAGAGCTCAAGTACTAAACAATTGAAATATATAATTAAAGCAAATCTAGCTATAAAACCAGGAAGAAATATATTTCATTATTCGGACTGATCGATATTTCTAACTGAAGCAGTAACAGACAATAAAATATAAGCAATTAGAAGAACAGATA